CTATATACTATATTAATATAAATTATAGTTAAGATAATTAACATTAATATAAATTATATAGTACATTAATATAAACTATAGTTTATAAATTATATACCATAGGTTATAAAGTATAAACTATATAGTACACTAATATAAACTATTGTTTATAAACTATAGGTTACATATATTGTTTATATAACATATAAATAGATTGTATATATACATATACTATAGGTTATATATATAGTTTATATATACTATACATAGTTTATACATACATGTACTATAAGTTACATATATAGTTTATATGTATACATATACTATAGGTTATATATATTAACTATTGTTTATAGACTATAGGTTAATGTTACATATATAATTTATATAAACTATTGTTTATATAAACTATATATGAATTATCATCTGTGTCTATACATATATAGTTTAAGGTTTAGAGTTTAGGGTTTAAAGTTTAGGGTTTCTATAAACTATATACTTTATTACTTTATATAGTTATGCATAGTATTTTTATAAACTATACAAGTAATTTACTTTATATAGTTTCTATATATAGGTTATATATATATTATACATAGTTTATACATATATGCACTATAAGTTGCATATATAGTTCAGGGGTTAGGATTAAGAGTTAAGGGTTTATAATTTAGGGTTTAAGGTTTCTATAAACTACATATTTTATTACTTTATATAGTTTATGCATATATATATATATATAGATTACTTATATTAATTATACATATATATATACTATATTAATATAAATTATAATTTATAAACTATATATTTTATATTGTTTATACATATATAGTTTATATACATACATATATATATATATAAAATTAAAAGTAATTAGAATGTATACATGATTAAATTGCATCAAATTGAAAATTCAAGAAGATATTTACATGAGAAAATAACCTCAGTGACCAAAAATGCCTTATAATATACGATTTTAACCAACTTTTTTGGATTTGCCAAAATGACCAACAAAATCGCAATGCGATCGCTAATTCGCAACGCGATCTCAGGTATCGCAAATCAGTTTCCAATTCGCAACGCGAACTTCGACTATCACATTGCGATTTACATATTCGCATTGCGATAGTCCAAGTTCGCGTTGTGATTTTCAAGTTCGTTGCGATAGTCTCCAAGTGCGTTGCGATAGTCTCCAAGTTCGTTGCATTAGTCTCCAAATTCGTTGCGATAGTCTCCAAATTCGTTGCGATAGTCTCCAAGTTCGTTGCGATAGTGTCCAAATTCGTTGCGATAGTCTCCAAGTTCGTTGCGATAGTCTCCAAATTCGTTGCGATAGTCTCCAAATTCGTTGTGATAGTCCAAAATCGCAACGACTGGTGGTATTGCATTTGTTTCTTAAGAATTTTCTCTAAAAAGATAGTATTCGCGCGGACGTGTCGAAGACACGTATTACCACGACCACGACCACGACCACGAGACGAGACGGACGGCAGCAGCGACGCGCGAGAGTCCCCCTTGTTCTCTATCACTCAACAAAGAAGTGGGAAAGCCAAGCCTTAAATACTATTCCCAATAGTGTTTCCAATACTATGTGGGATTGAAAATTCACTAGCACTTTAAACTATGAAGAAACGAAAGAAATTTTTGGTTTACATTTACAATAAGTCTCTCGTAATCCAAGAACATGCTTTACCAACTTAACAAAACAATTCATCACAATATTGTCTACTCTGCTCGGTATTTCGAGCAAGTAGTAAATGTTGATTATAATTGAACTTAAAGTGTATCCGGAAACACTATTGAGAACCAGTGTTGGTAATGCTCAATCCCACATAGTATTGGAAACACTATTGGGAATGGTATTTAAGGCTTGGCTTTCCCACTTCCTTGTTGAGTGATAGAGAACAAGGGGAACTCTTGCGCGCCGCCACCGTCGTCCGTCTCGTCTCGTCTCGTCTCGGGTCGTGGTCGTGGTAATATGTGTCTTCGACACGTCCGCGCGAATACTATCTTTTTAGAGAAAATTCTTAAGAAACAAATGCAATAACGAACTTGGAGACTATCGCAACGAACTTGGAGACTATCGCAACGAATTTGGAGACTATCGCAACGAACTTAGAGACTATCGCAACGAAGTTGGAGACTATCGCAACGAATTTGGAGACTATCGCAACGAACTTGGAGACTATCGCAACGAACTTGGAGACTATCGCAACGAACTTGGAGACTATCGCAACGAACTTGGAGACTATCGCAATGAATTTGGAGACTATCGCAACCAATTTGGAGACTATCGCAACGAACTTGGAGACTATAGCAACGAACTTGGAGACTATCGCAACGAACTTGGAAAATTGCAACGCGAACTTGGACTATCGCAACGCGAATATGTAAATCGCAATGCGATAGTCGAAGTTCGCGTTGCGATAGTCGAAGTTCGCGTTGCGAATCTGGAAACTGATTTGCGATACCTGAGATATCGTTGCGAATTAGCGATCGCATTGTGATTTTGTTGGTCATTTTGGCAAATCCAAAAAAAGTTGGTTAAAATCGTATATTATAAGGCATTTTTTGTCACTGAGATTATTTTCTCTATTTACATTTAAACATGACTAAAATGAAAGAAATCAAAAATCAAATACAAGTGGAAAAATGATGATTGTTGGAGGAGCATGAGCCTAATTAACCCAAAATATCTTGTTGGGCACTATCATTAGCCCCAACTTCCCAAATTTTTCTATTCTCTCTAAATTTTCCAATTTCCCTCTAAATTCCCAATTTTCCAATTTTCTCAAAATTTCCCAATTTCCCTCTAAATTCTCAAATAAAATAAAATAATTTCACACAAAAAAATATTTCTTTTAAAAAGTATTTTCCCACCACCCACTAATATAAATATATATATATATATATTAATATAAATTATAGTTTATAAACTATATACTTTTTTTAGTTTATACGTATATAGTTTACATATATAATTTATATATGTAGTTCATATAAACACAATTTATATATATAGCTTATAATAATTATATAGTTTATAATATAAATATAGTTTATATATAAACTTATATTATATATATATATATTATATTTTTTTAATTTTTTAAATGGATGCAATTTACTATATTTTTCATTATTTTTCATATTTTACATTTATTTCGATTTCATCCTTTTGTGTTTTTACTTTTATTTCAATTTTAAGTCTTTCACTTTTATATGTATTCAATTTAGTCCTTAAATTTATATTTGCATCTTCATTTGGCCAATTGTTAGTTGTTATTTATATTTTGTAACTAACCCATAACTTTTTAAATGAGTATAATTTAGTCATTTTTATATTAATTTAAACCTCACATTTTAATTTTTTTTGATTTGGTCCCTTACCTATGTGTTGTTTAATTTATATTTTAAACTTTTATTTGTAATTTTACATTTCTTCAATTTTGTCCTTAAATTTATATTTTTTTACAAAATTTATCCATGATTTTTTTTGTAATTTACTCGAAATCATATACAATTACAACTTGCAATTCAACAATCACGAAAAATGACAAAATAATTAATCCAAAAATAAAAACGACCCGACCTGAACTCAATCCGTATCCAGTAAATATTTGACCTGAATTTTATCTGTCAATGATGTGACCCGATTTGAACGAGATCCGACTGAAGTCCACCCGAATCTAAATTAACCTGGCCTTTATCTGCTTCGGACATGAACTGTTTTAATCTGAACTGACATCGATCCGAACTGAAAATGACCTGACCTGAACCCGATCTGGATCTAGTGTCAAATCAACCTGAAAATAACCCGAACTGATTTGACCTGACCTGAATCCGATCTGGATCTATGTCAAATCAACCTGAGTTGACATGTACCCGATTTTACCCAACCTACCTAGATCCAACTGAAACCTATCCGATTACCTAATTTTACAGCCCTAATAGGAACCAGAGAATCCCTATCCTAATACAAATCCAAATGACAAATCCCCAATTTTTTCTATTAAAAAAAAAAGTAAAGGCAACGGTTTAACCATCTGTGTGTTTGTCGCAACCGTCTTAATGAGAAATGGCAAACCAAGCCAAGCCCCCAACTCTCTTTTATTATCAGTTCCAATGCTCCATTTGCTCTAGTGTTTTGAAAATCAGATCAGACCGGACCGACTGGTTCAACTGAGAATCGCTATCTGGTCGGTTCATTCTACACTGGTTAAACCACTATAGTGAACCAGAAGGAACCGCTGAACCGGATGTGAATTGTTTGAACCGGACCGGACCGTGAACTGGTTGAAAATCGATAGAACCGGCTCTAAAAAAATCAAATCAAGTTCAACTCGAACTAGAAATATAATATTGAAACTTGAACTCAAAAAGGCTTGAATTCAAAAAAATTTAAAAGCTCGATTGAAGCCTGAAATTTGAGCTCGATTGGAGCGAAAGAATAGTTCGCTCTATGCTCACCAAAAGACTCAATGGTTTTGAATGTTAAATTACCTCTATTATTTATAGAAGTCAGTTGGGATGCTCTTCTATGTTTCTTAGCCATGTGAGATGTTTTATTTTCATATTTTTACTCTTTAGACTTTTGTGATGCTCTTCTATGTTTCTTAATCATGTGAGATTTTTTTTAAATTAAACCAAACGACATCGTTTGTTATAATTTTTTAGCCCTAAATTTATTTTTTTGATTATAGTTATATAATTATATTTATTATTTAATATATTTTACCTTAAATATTATGTTGTAGTTAATTTAAATTATTTTGTTTCACTTGATTTTATGGTTTTTAATTTATATATGTTATGACTTGATTTGAATATGACTTGTGATATAAAAAATTATTTTTTATTAAAAGTTTTTTATTTGTATTTAATTTTTTAAATAATTAATTAATTATGACGTCATCGATTCTTCTAATCGATTTGACAGGTTCAATCAATTGAACCAATGAACCGATAGTACGATCGGCTTGCTGACCGGTCCGCTTTTAAAAACCATGATTTGCTCTTCTACTTCTTCTGTGCCACTTGTCAATGGTGGGTCTTTCAAGTTCACGGCTCAAAGTCTCCGTAGAAAGCCTCTCAGTCTCAGACTTACTGCCACCAGATCAAAAGCCGATGAGCCACAAGATGCAAGCTTTCCTTTTACACTCTCTGAACTGATTCAAACCAATAATTTTGTGTGTAAAACGATGTTGGTTTTTTTTTTTGTAGGATTATCTTATCGATGCTCCTGTTTTAGCTGGTGATGGCTTTTCTTTTAGTGGGGGGTACTTCCATATTTCAGTACATTTTTTTCCAAATGCGATCCATTGGTCGAGAACTTAATGGTTGAATTAAGTTGTGCTTCTTTTTACTGGAAAAATATTCAGATGAGCCAAACCCCTCTGATGAATGGTTTAAGCAAGGGAAATTTGTGAGTAAAATGCATGCCTGTTGCTTGGGTTTTAGCTCTAACCAAGGTTATTCCTTGGATTTCTTGTTTTACTCTAATTTCTTTTGGGTAGGTTAAAGCTTGTCCTGTGGGTGGCACTGGTGAGAAAGCTAAAGATCCAATTTTTGGACTAACCATGGGAGCTGCCTCTCAAGCTTCAAGTGATGTTTTCAGGTAAATACCTTTATTACTACTACTACTACCATCATCATCATCATCATCAAAGTGTGATTCTAAATGTTATTTTCGAACCAATGCTGATAAGTTTAATGTTGGTTTCCTTTTAGTGAGTTTAATGGTATGCGTGAAATCAAGATTTCATCATTTGCAAAATTAAAACATGCTCTCTATCTCTATGATTTTATGAAGTAGATGGTTTAGCGCGGAAAGTGGAAAAGCTGATAATCCTACGGTTATTTTGATTCATGGTTTCCCATCACAGGTTAGTCCTTTTGGCCCAAGACAAATACGTGAATAGGAATTCAACAATTTCTTTGGAACTAATCTTTTTTTTTTAGTTTTCGGTATAATGTGTTTGGTACTTGCTACTTGGTCTATAAATATGATGGCTTAGTTTTGCTGGCAGGCATACTCTTATCGCAAAGTCCCTCCCGTTCTATCCAAAAATTATCATGCTATTGCTTTTGATTGGCTAGGTAAGATCATATATTCATTGTGAATTATATCGAGAAAGACCAAGTTCTTTCTACGATTATAGTTTGTGGTCTTCAGTAACTTGTCAGAAGCTGTGAAATAGAGCTTATGTGTTCTACTTAGATGATACTATTTACTCTTAACTCACCATGTGAGTACATGAGGGTTTACTTTAGTATGTATTCATGGGAAGATGAGATCCATATGTTTTGACGTTATCGGTATGACAATAGGATTTTCTTGGGAATTTGTTTAGTTTTAGCCTAGAAATTGCTTCTAAACGATTTTGTTTTGGCTTAGAGACATGGCAATCATAGCAGATGGAATGAAAATCATTGCAAATTTGCTTGCAATCTTAAAGGCTCGGAGGCATAGACAAGCTAGTCTAATTTTTTGCGCTTTTGTTTTGCTGATTTTTCATCTTGATGTCGACGGGCGTATTTCGGGTGCATGAGCTTCATTGAATTTGCAAGTATTGTATATCATGTGAAGTTTCTCGGCATCGGACCACTTTCAGTGATATCTGAGAAGACATGCATTTTGAATTGCTAAATAAGTGGTTAGAAATTTTCATAGAAGCCATGCACGTTGGAAGTTTGGGCTTTGGACTTACAAAATGGAGGACCTGTGTATGGTTTTTCTGAGTTTTCTTTTGAAGGGCTGTTTCCTTTTAATTTTCAGACTGCATATTTAATGCTTTAATCGAATCCAAGTGAATGATGATTTTTTTTTTTTAGCCGCCATCCTAAATCCAACCTCTCTTGTTCAACAGGTAATTGTCTCCCTCAATACTTTTCTTCATTCCTAGCAGAATATGTATCAGCATTGGAGTCCTTTGTTAATGAAGTTGCTGCTGATAAAGTTTCACTTGTTGTCTAAGTATGTTATTTTTCCGTATATGTAAAGACACAAAGACATGCAATCAACATTTTTAAATTACTATGCAACTTAAAGCGAAAAAGATTTTTTTGATCTTTTATGTTCTTGCAGGGCTACTTTTCACCAGTTGTCGTTAAATATGCCAGCAAGTATCAGGAAAAGCTTAATGATCTAATTCTCCTCAACCCTCCTGTATGAATCCTGAAGCTTGTTTTATTGTTCTACAAACTATTGTTCAGATTATATCCTGAGGATCAGTTTGGCTTATACCGGAAAAAATACATTTTAACCTTGTTTATTACAGCTAACAGCCAAACATGCCAACCTTCCCTCAACGTTATCCATATTCAGAAACTTCTTGCTGGGTGAAATTTTTTCTCAGATAAAGCATGATATATATGGTATTTACTTGGAACTTTGTGCTTGCATGTGCATGTTATTCTGGAATATAGACATCTATCAGTTCATTTGTATGGACTAATAGATTGGTTCAAAGAGATACCATATAGCATTAAATGGTAAATGGTTTGTTCTTTGCTGAACAGGATCCTTTGAGGGCCAGTGATAAGTCTCTGACGAGCTGTGGTCCGTATGCAATGAAAGAGGATGATGCGATGGTTTCTAGAAGGCCTTATCTTACATCTGGTTCATCAGGGTTTGCACTAAATGCAATTAGTAGGGCCATGAAAAAAGAGCTTAAGGTGGAATTATTATTTACTCTATTTATATTTATGTAGTTCAAGTTCCGTTTTAATCAGATCAAAGATATAGAATTCATCTCTGAATTTCCATGTTCCCTCTTTCTTGAGGAAACCTTCTGCCTCAACTATAGTACTAGCCTTATATTGCTGTTTCCTGATTCATTTATATAGTCCAAGGTTAAAGGTGCAATGGAAAAATCATTCTGGTTTTTTGCTTGTCAGGCATATGTGGAAGATACGAAAGCAACTCTCACGGATGAAAATTGGAAATTTCGAACTACGGTGTGTTGGGGCCACAGGGACCGTTGGCTGAACTATGATGAAGTGGAAGATTTCTGCAAAAATTCGAACCATAAACTGATTGAGCTTCCAATGGTACCAACATGCCACATGCACTTGCATGTTATCTTTAAACTAACATTTCAGTTCAGCCTTAGATGAAGCATATGTTGGGGCTTGGGATCTTAACCTCTATTATACTGCCTTATCCTTTTCTCTCTCGAATGCTAAGATTCTTATAAAGACAATAATGCGCTTGCTGGTTTTCTTCCTGAGGGCAGGGCATCATGTCCAGGAAGATAGTGGCAAAGAACTTGGTGGGATCATTTCGGGACTTATCAGCTGAAGGATCATAACATGATAAGTTACAATTTTTTAGAGCTACCTATATACTCCAAACATCATTTTTTTATCATTCAGGAGAAATTTTTTTATTGACTTTCATGAATGAACTGTGTTCACATTCTTGTGACAAGCCAATTATGATTGTAATGGTTTAAACTTGGGAGGACAAGGCAACTGAAATTTGATTTTTGATTTATCACATGTAGTTGATATTCATTTTCCAATGTGCAGTATAAATAGTTAGTATATAGCGAAAAGTAGATCAACTTGAAGGGTTAGCCACAATTTATAGATATTAATTATTGTTAATACAGTATATCAAGATAAGTATTCTGCAGATGCTTTGAAGTATATTTCTTGTTTCATTCCTTGTTCAGAAAATTTTGTGTTCGAGACCCTCTACATGCATGCTCAACAACCAAATTCTACCTGTAATCCGTCTTTAGGTGAGCATTACATCTGCTTTTTTGACAATAGATCGTACGGATCAGACCAGTCATTGTCTTGCTTAACGGCTCTAATCCATCTGTTTTTGAAGATCTCTAATTCAATGAATGACTGCATTTTAACCTGTGGAAAATGAATTCCATATACGACCAATTGATGATTTTGCCAAGAGGTCTGGCCATAAATAGCGCTATGGAGTGAAGTGAGCTTCGAAACTGCATAAAGAGTAAGTTCAAGACCTCAGATCTTCCACCAGACTCATTGGAAGGTGATGCTCCCTGCAAATGCAAAGGTCGTTAAAGAAAAAACAAGTAGCAGGGATAAGGAATCGGATGGTCAACCATAGCCAAGCATGAAACTTAATTCAAGCTGAGCATGAGAACCAAAGCCGAACTCGGGTTGGATCATGATATTTGAAAATGATATAGATTGGTCATAGATAGACCATGACCAACCTGAATGGGGTCTCTATGCAACCTGGGATACCTCAGGTTGTGTATTAGCCATACATTATTGCACATATACTCAATGAAGAGAGTTTGCCTTTCACCATCGAGGACTTGAGTGTATAACAAATGCAGAGATCAAGTAATCAGAAAACTCATGGCTGACCTTGGTTGTCTCTAATTCACAATCAAGGTCAAGGCTTCAACGTTGAAGAAACCCCCTAGGACCCTTGAAAAGCTTTAGAATCATCTTTGGGTTAAATTTCTTACCTTGTTAGCTTCGCCTCCAAGTGTAGGAAGAGCATCATGAGCTAAGTACTCAGAATCGACAACTCCAATTTTTTGGGTTCGATCACCCTATCAAATAAAGCTTCATTGTAAGAAACATGTTGAAAATACTGAACAAGAGCTCATTTTTCCCCATCTTTAAATTTAAATAAAAATGCGAGGTTGAAGGTACAGAACTTGCCTGTGCACAATAGCCAAGCTGAAAGTCCAATCCCCATCCATAAACCAGATCGTTCTGATATAAGTGAAAACCAATAATGAGATTACTGATAAATTACAACTAAACTTTACGAAACAATATGGTCATGTTAGAAAGACTTCTCGATAATTTAGAAGTTGATTCATGTTGGAGAAAACCCATATCTCTAATGGTGATGATCTTAAGCTGCATTAACTCTATCAAGCAAGAAATACTCTATCTTCCATTTACTATTAGAAATAAAAAATTGAAAAAAAATCCTGGATATCAGTACTCCGTCTTTTATTAAAGCCATTGGCATTAATAAACTATGTAATTCGGACTTGGATTTGAGCGTTAGATATGCATATGTTCAACTTTTTAAAAAGTTTTTCCATGCACTTGAAAGATTCTTGGACCGATGTCCGATTATGCATTAGACATGGGGACTTGAAGAAAAATAGAGTTCAAAAAACAGTTAATAGGATGACCATGAAAGCATAAAATGGTAATGTTTGTTCATTGGATTCTAATGAACCTTCCATATATTCCATTAGTAACTTAAAGCAAGATTCAACTTCCTAGTTTGGATATAGTACCTGAATCATATGCCATGAACAGCGCCAAGATGCTCTGGAGAAAACAGGAGCCATAATTTCTACAAATCTGTAATACGCAATCATCTCTTTCTATTACTCCATGCAAATATACTGACGCCAGACAGAATAGTGATTATCCTGCAAGCGCTCCAACAGATGATTCACAAGAGAAAATTCGCCCAAAAAAAACCAGAGAAAAAAAAGTCTCTAGGGTTTAATAAAATATTATAAAATCAAACAATCCAAAATCAGTCCACAAGCCGGACTGTTATAGCCAAAAATCGTCTTTATTAGAATTTTGCCAAAAATAGCAAAATCCCGAAAATCACTCTAAATTGAAATTCGAAATAAAATAAGCAATCTCCAAAAAATCCGGCCTAAATCGGATTTAAATTGACTTCCTAATTGACAATCGAAATATTACCATAAATAGTAAAAAATATCTAAATCTAGTGATTCGGAGGGGAAAACGGCAGAATTTGAGATTGCAAAAAAGGCCACATGGAGGTGCGCGTCGAAAAGAGCTTTCCAGATTGGGGTCTTATACGCGATTCTGACACCTGTAGCCAAAGTTATGGCCAAAAGACTGAAACATACTCAAAACGACCCCAGTGAGGAACATGTCACAATCAATTCCCGCCTTTGCGCTGATCTGCCAATTCATGGTATCTCAGCGCCATCAAGGTGCAATCTGACAGCTCAGCATCATCTGCCTCGGATCCCCCTACATTAGTCACCCCGGGTTGGAAAGAACTCGTCCTCGAGTTCAGAGTAGTGTCATCAGAATCCACAAAACAATGACTCAGGTGCTTCACATTAAAGACATCAGAAGTCTTCAAGTGGCTGGGAAGGCGCAACCTGTAAGCATTATCATTGATCTTCTGCACGACCTCACAAGGTCCAATCTTCCGATCCTTAAGCTTATTATACTCACCAACAGGAACACGATCACGAGTTAATACAGCCAAAAAAAAATCACCAACATCAAAAAGTACCTGACGACGATGATTGTCGACCCGAGTCTTGTACTTTGGTATTGCTCTCATGAATGGTTTGTTTCACCTGCTCATGGATACCCAGAAGATACTTTGACATCTCATATGTTTTAGGACTGAAATGACCTATACGTGGAATAGGGGCTAAGTCCAGCACCCCGGATGGGTTCTAACCATAGACAATCTCAAATGGGCTTAAACCTGTGGTTCTGTTTTTTGATATGTTGTAGGCAAATTCTGCCTAAGGCAATGCCAAATCCCACTGCTTCGGCTTCGTTCCTGCCAAACACCTCAAGAGGTTTCCCAAACTTCGGTTCACCACTTCGGTTGGCCATCCGTCTGGGGGTGGTAGGCGCTACTGAAATTCAACTGCGTTCCCAGTTTCCCCCACAGGCTCTTCCAGAAATGACTGATGAACTTAGTATCACGATATGAAGTGATGGATCGAGGAACACATGTAAACGCACAATCTCCTTGAAATAGAGATGGGCAATCCGGTCAGCATCCATAATCTTTCTACAAGCTACAAAATGAGCCATCTTGGAAAACCTGTCAACCACAACAAAGATAGAATCCGAGGCCCTTTGGGTGAGGGGTAAGCCTAGTACAAAATCCATGCTGACATCGAACCAAGGAGCTTCAGGAACAGGTAAGGGAGTGTACAAGCCCGCATTGGTGAGAACTCCCTTAGACCGCTGGCACACATAACAACGGTCACATAATAGGCCACATCACTAGTCAACTTGGGCCAATAAAAGTCAGAAGAGATAAGGGCCAAGGTCTTATCTCGGCTAAAGTGTCCCTCATTATGGAGTTCACTTATAATTTGCTGCCTTAATGAACAATCTGGAATGCACAATGTAATCCACGAAACAGATACCCATTATGCAAAACAGAATCATGACGGTGACCCTCAGTTACCTCCTGAAATATCCTTCCAAAGGAAGGATCAGCTGCATATATATATCTGTGAACGTCTCAAAGGCTGCAACTTTAGTACTCATGGTGGTGAGAAGTAAGGTACGACGGCTCAGGGCATCTGCGACGCGGTTCAAACTCCCTGCTTGGTGCCTCAGCGTAAAAGTGAATTCTTGCAAGTATGCCACCCACTTGGCATGCCGTCTACTCAGCTTGTGTTGTCCATTGATGTACTTCAAGGCCTCATGATCGGTAAACAGAATAAACTCCTTCTGTACTAGGTAGTGACGCCAATGCTTCAGGGACTGAACTATGCATAGAACTCTAGATTATAAGTGGAATAATTTTTCTTTGATCCGATAGTTTTTCACTGAAAAAAGCAACCGGACGTCCTGCCTGACTCAGAACACCACCAATGCCAACGCCATATGCATCACAATTTACCTCGAACACTTTGTCAAAATCTGGAAGTGCCAAAACTGGAGCCTCGGTCATCTTCTGCTTGACCAGTTGAAAACTGGCCTCTGCCTCCTCAGACCACTGGAAATCACGCCCCTTGAGGCACTCTGTGATAGGGGCGATCAGAGTACTGAAATTTCTAATGAATCGGCGGTAAAAAGACGCCAAGCCATGGAAACTTCGGATGTCATGTAAGGTCTTTGGTCTGGGCCACTCCATGACTGCATCTACCTTTGACTGATCTGCATGAACACCATCAGTAGACACAACAAAACCAAGAAAAGTCACAGAAGTAGGGAAGAAAGAACACTTCTTTTGATTGACAAACAAGCACTCCGTTTTCAGCATCTCAAAAACAGCACGGAGGTGATCGAAGTGTGAAGTCCATGTCGGACTATAAACGAGGATATCATCGAAGTAAACTACAACCAATTTCCCCATAAAAGGCCGTAAGACCTGATGCATAAATCTCATGAACGTACTGGGCGCATTGGATAGCCCGAAAGTAATGACCATCCACTCATACAACCCTTGTGGCGTTTTAAACGCCATCTTCCACTCATCTCCAGGTCTTATTCTGATTTGGTGGTAACCGCTCTTAAGGCCAATTTTTGAGAAGACCTTAGAGCCAGATAGTTGATCCAACATATCATCTAGACGGGGAATTGGAAACCGGTACTTAACTGTAATTCTGTTGATCGCTCGGCTGTCAACACACATACGCCAAGAACCATCTTTCTTTGGCACTAGCAGAGCAGGGACTGCACATGGGCTCATACTCTCTCGGATATAGCCCCTCTCTAACAACTCTTCCACCTGTCGCTGTAACTCTTCAGCCTCTTTGGGACTGAGGCGATATGCTGGTCGATTTGGCAAACTTGACCCAGGAACAAGGTCAATTTGATGCTGAATATCCCTCATAGGTGGTAGCCCAGGAGGAAGATCCTCTGACATCAAGTTAGAGAATTCTGCTAGCAGCCGCTACACTTCTACTGGTAAATATGCATCCACGTCTACTGCATTGTTCTCGCAAGGTAGTAAGGCATAGACCACGTCGCCATGCTCAATCTCATCTAAAAACCTGGACATAGAAAACAGAGTAGTATTATGGGTTACTGGGGTAGGAGTGAGTCCTTCCCGCCGGGGTGCCAACACAATCTTTTTTCCCTTGATGCTAAGGGAATATGTATTTTTTCGTCCATCATGAATGACACTGCGATCATACTGCCAGGGTTGACCCAACAATATATGAAACGCATCCATAGACACAACATCACACCAGGCATTATCAAAATATTTTCTACCAATTGAAAAAGACACGAGGCATCGCCTATCAACTGTTACCTCACTGCCTTTATTTAGCCATGACAGCTTGTATGGCTTAGGATGACGGTCCGTCTTCAACTGCAATTTCTGTACAACCTCCTCGGACACTACATTCTCACAACTGCCGCTGTCAATAATCATTTTGCAGACTTTATCTGCAACTGTGCAGGTCGTGTGGAAAATATTGGTTCTCAACCAATCGTCCCCTGAATCGCCCTTGGAGTAAGTAGACTCTTGCGAACGACCAGAGTCTCATGACCATCTCCATACAGCACATCATCAGTCTCATCATCGTCATACACGGGTTCGCCAATCTCCTCAGTCTCGTCTTCCGCGTTTTCCTCAATCAACAAATTTTTGCCCTTTTGACTAGCAGGCTTCCTACAATCAGTCACCCTATGCCCTTGTTCACCACAACGAAAACATCTAATAGTAGGGTTAGAATTACCCTGTGGTGGCTGTTGAGCAGGACGGGAATCCTGAGGACGAACTGGTCGACTGTTGTGATCGTTCCTAATCACTGGTCTCCTGTTTTGCTGTTTTTCAACAGTAAGTGCACGCTGGTAAGCTTCCGAAACACTCCACAGTGAATGAAGGCTGAGGACATCTTGTAAGGGTTGGTGTAAACCCCCCAAGTACTGCGCCATCATTTTCTCCTCCGTCTCAGATAAATTGTTCCGGGCGACCAATTGGTAAAACTTCTCCGTGTAATCATCGACTGATCGTGTGCCCTGCCTCAATGCATGAAGTCGCTGAAACAAGGTTTGAATGTAGCCGAAGGGAAGGAAGTGACCCTTCATCTTCTTCTTCATCTTCTCTCAATCAATGATCTTGGCCTTGCCCTGTCTTTCTCGTGAACGTCGCAACTGTTCCCACCACGCAGATGCTCTGCCCTTGAGTTTGATGGCGATCAGTTTCACTTTCACACGATCGGGGACTTCCTTATATTCAAAAATACGCTCTACTTCATTAATCCAATCCACGAATCCCTCGGCCTGTAACGTACCAGAAAACTCAGGGAGATCGACCCGAAAACTGAGGTCTCCATGACGCTTTTCCCGACCACGGTATTCCCGGAATAGAACACGATTGTGATATGGGTTTTCTAAAGCGGAATTGGTATCATGATCAGAGGCCTCACGATCCTCGAAATCCTGCGCCGCTAGGCGCTGGGTTAATTCTGCGACTTGCCTCTGTAAATCCGCAATCATCACATCCTAAACGTTGCGATCACGGCGTTAGGCTTCCTCATTCGGAACCTGCTCACGACAACCACGACCACGACCTCTAGCCATTGAAACTGGTGAAATTTCCAAGAAGATGTTGAAGCTCTGATACCAACTGACGCCATACAGAATAGTGATTATCCTGCAAGCGCTCCAAAAGATGATTCACAAGAGAAAATTCGCCCAAAAAAAACTAGAGAAAAAAAAGTCTCTAGGGTTTAATAAAATATTATAAAATCAGTCCACTGGACTGTTATAGCTAAAAATCGTCTTTATTCGAATTTTGCCAAAAATAGCAAAATCCCAAAAATCACTCTAAATTGAAATTCGAAATAAAATAAGCAATCTCAAAAAATCCGGCCTAAATCGGATTTAAATTGACTTCCTAATTGACAATCGAAATATTACCATAAATAGTAAAAAATATCTAAATCTAGTGATTCGGAGGGGAAAATGATAGAATTTGAGGTTGAAAAAAGGCCACATGGAGCATAGCTCGATGTGGAGAGCGTGCGCGTCGAAAAGAGCTTTTCGGATTGGGGTCTTATGCGCGATTCTGACACCTGTAGCCAAAGTTATGGCCAAAAGACTGAAACATACTCAAAACGACCCAATACCCCAATGAGAAACATGTCACAATCAATTCCGCCTTTGCACTGATCTGCCAATTCATGGTATCTCAGCGCCATCAAGGTGCAATCTGACAGCTCAACATCATCTGCCTCGGATCTCCCTGCATCATATACAAAATTCTTCGGAACTTTAAATTAAGGTAAGACATATATTGTAGATATTATAGTGTAATGATTGTTAACTACAGACAGAAACGTCGGGCAAATTTAGATTACCCTGTGCGAGGACAGGAACTGTTTTCGTACACTTTGTCCTACCAATCACCTTGTACGTCCTCCTGTCGAAAATACACAAGTAACAAATACTTGTGAATAAATTTACTTTGAATATCTTGAGAATATTATCACGAGACAAGCATGTCGTTCATTCCTGAACATGATTTTAGGGAGACAGAGGACCTGTGTACTGTTGAATTTTTGTCCCTTGCAGTAATCGGATGATGCAGCTCTGACTTCCCAGGATCAAGGGCTGGCTGTGATATTTCAAGCCCTTCCTTTTTAACTATTGAAAGGTATCTGTATTTAAAAAATTCAAAGAAGAGAATAAAGCTTGTGACATAAACCAAATATATAGAGTTTGCGACAATAAAGCTTTAATCATGTTGCCGGAAAATATAGCTTCAAGCACTTTTATGCACAATAAAGTCTCCAGCAATTGCTATTGCAAAAGGTTTGACCACCTTTTATGATTCTATAAAGAAGTCTATTAAAGATATAATTTTGATAAAATTCAAATGAATTTGTTTTACCGGACATGTTTTTGACGTGAATGCGTCAAAAAAGAAGCAAAAAACAAAACAAACAAACAAATAGGTTTGATAAATAAAGTAAGTTCAAAAGATGATAGGTTTGGTGAATATTTCTTTTTTTCAGATGGAGTTATTTTTTATTAGATGTTCATCATCATATGGCTGCGAGCAAGGCCCTGATGAGCCGCTGAATCTTCAAGCCAAGCACTATCTCTAAACTCTGAGAAACAAACTTTAGTTTCTTACAATTAGATTCAGTTCTTGAGTAGATTTCTTTCTTTTCTTTTTTTTTTTTTGCGCTCAGCAGTTCTGTAGGTGAAGCACTGTGTTTTTTACTACCAAGCGAAATGAGAAAAAGCAAGACCTATACAACAAACCTTTTAGCATCGAAGTGGTCGACCCCAAGGTCTTCATCCCAAAGGAAGATGTAGGCATACTCCGAAACAATATCTGGATGTAAAAAGCGCTTTGCAAACCACCTGATTTGTGAGCGTACATTATACAAAGCCAAGTTACTTCGAACTGAATCAAACATATATAAAAGTTTTTACCCCAAATCTAGAGCTAATGACCATTTACCACCTGGTTTAATTGGCAGCAGAGACATGTATAGCACGGTCGTTCCACTCTAAGTCCTTCCAATGGTCCACAATGCCGTCGTAATGGAAAAGCATCACGGCAAAATCACTCTCTGGAAATGAAACTATCAAAATACAAATAATGTTACCAAAGTGTTTTTGTAAAGGACCTAAATCAAGAAAGAAGGGGAATAATATGTTTCTCCTTATTACTTAATACTACTATAGGAACTGCACTTATAGTCGCATCTAAAGATAGTAAATATAAATTTTAAAAAAATGTAATTACATACATAAGTTTATCCTCAACTGTGAGATAGCACTAAGAGCTTATCACAGCTTGACCGGAAAACCTAGTCCGATCAATGTCCTAAATGTTTTATCATTGGTAATGATAGCAGTTGGCAACTGCTGCCTCTAGTAAAATGAAAATTCATAGAAGATTCACACAAAAAGAAACGATGAAGGATGAAGTTTTACGTCAAAGTATTAAAAATGGAGATCAGAATTTAGTAAGAAAAAGTAGTTTGTTAGTGGCAACATTGTAATAAAAACTGAGCAGACCACATACCGGTCTTCTCAGCTGATAAAATGCTCAACTCTGAAGGAACAAATACAAATCTAAATGCCATTAACCAGAATAAACTATGGTTAAACATGAAATATGAACAAGAATATGGTAATAAGTTAATACCATTTTGAGAAAGGGATGAGACTTGTGCAGCCATAACAATTTAGAAGACAAAAAGAGCAACAGGAAAAACGGTAGTGCACTCAGCACTGTCATTCAGGAAAGCAACGCTAACAAAGGATAAAAAATATTGACAAATATTAGTATCAAAATCGCTTACCTTCTTATTCTGTAGACCCCATAATGGCAACATTTCCAAGTCAAATGTCTCGGAAATGATTCCTCTAACCAATGCTTCACTTCCATAAGCCCTGCACTGGGTCTAAGCACAAGTGACACACAGAAGGAATAGTTAGAGAACATGTGTTTTCATGTGCATCGTAGAACATGCATAATGTAACATATACAAAACAAACCTCACAGATCTTAGGTCTTGTGTACTGCAAAACCATAATTGACCCCCATCCTAGAATTCTCTACATAGGGAAGGCCCCAAATCTCACATTATTTACTTGCTTACAGGAAATATAATGCATTTCATTTGCATGAAAGAGTCATGAAGCTTTTGATTCCTTATGTTAATAAATTGGACTAAAAACTTAGGCATACTGGCATGCACAAATTATAAGAATAAAAATATGTTTAACACAAGACAAATACGACAATAAGTAACTTCTGATGTCAGAAAAGGCTTGAAGAAATCCCACTTCATTTTCAAAGCTAGTTTTCAACTTTGTGCAAACAGGGCTTTGACAGGTATACCTCTTTATGGTCCGTGACTATAAATGCACTTCCTATGAAGAAGGCTGCAGAAAGCAAAAGAATCATGGGGAGGAAGCGGTGAGTAAATAATCTGTCTTTTAGCTTCTGCCTTTGTAGAGATCTGAAAGCAAGAGGAAACAAAAAAGATAAGACAGGATAGCATATGACATAACTTTCAATTCCGGAAATATTTTGTTTTTTCATGCCACCATCATTAAGAAGTCCAACTCCTAATCTACTGCTAGGGAAATAATTAATCCAAGCACACTCTAAGGGCACCAAGACATTTTTCAATGCAGGTAGCTGGTGTGATGAGTTTTTAAACTCCTCAAGAGGCTTTCAGACTGCTGGGTGTATCCACTTCTCAGATCAAACTTTTGACCGCCCAGATCATTCAGTTTCAACTCGAACGTATCGTATAACTTGAAATTCATAAGGCACCATTTTTTCTTTTTGATAGGAAAAAACATTTCTCAATTACACTTGAGTGGAGTTTCAGAAAGCAAAATCATCTTCCTCCTTTTCCAAATTAAATCATGCCCGTAGTATGTGTTGGAAATAAACGAGTAAACGAGTAATTTCCCTATAACCAGATTAGTAAGAATGCGAAATAAAAACGGAAAAATAATACCCGAAATTGATAACGGAGTTCAGCCAATTGTCCTTACGTCTTCGGACTGCTGCAGATCTTTTACTAAGAGAGAAAATTTACAGGTGTTTACAAAACACTCACTACTCGCAACAAACTCTCTAGTATTGGGAGAAAGAAATGATTTGGGATGATTTTGAAGCTAAATGGGTTAGAGTATTTATAATTGAAGCTTAAAGACTAATCTTATAAATATCATAAAGTGTGCAGTGGCTAAAATGTAATTAACTCTATTACAAAATAAAAAAAAAACAAATTGATTGCACCGAATTCGGTGGAATTCGGTGCCCCCATGCTCCCCATTCAGTGCCCCCATGCGCCCATAATTATTGACTTTACAATCTCCCACTTGAAGACTGATTTTAATCTGTCTTCATACCTCGATCAATGCAGTAGCATTTCTGGTCTTGTTACTCTAGCATGCCAACTGAAGCTGAACACAACTTCAGTTTGTCCGTAGTCACTGTCTTTGTCAACATGTCTGTCGGATTTTGAGCTCCACTAATCTTTTCAAGTTTCAAAATCCCATCTTCCAAAAGAGACCGAATAAAATGATATCTCAATTGTATATTCTTCGTTCTGGAATGAAAAGACGGATTCTTTGCTAGATGTATAGCACTTTGACTGTCGCAATACAATACACTGTTTTCTGGTTTCTTGCCTAACTCTTCCAAGAAACTTTGGAGCCAAACCATCTCCTTGCTGGCTTCCGTAAAAACGACATATTCTGCTTCAGTTGTGGAGAGAACAACTATCTTCTGTAGTTGAGAAACCCAACTCACTACAGTACCTCATAGAGTATAGACATACCCTGTAGTGCTCCTTCTGATGTCAACATTTCCGGCTAAGTCAACATCTACATAGCCTGTCAGTATCGTATCTCCACCTTTGAAACAAAGTGTTTTGTTTGTGGTACCCCGCAGATATCTGAAGATCCATTTGACTGCTTCCTAGTGTACATTGCCCGGATTATTCATGTACCTGCTAACAGCTCCCACTGCTTGAGCAATATATGGTCTGGTACAAACCATGACATACATCAAACTTCCAATTGCCGAGGCATACGACACATTCACCATGTTTACACGTTCTTCCTCCGTCTTTGGTGACTATTCTTTGGAGAGTCTAAAATGAACACCTAAAGGTGTACTTACTGGTTTAGCATCTTGCATGTTGAACTTGGAGAGTACTTTGTTGATGTACTCAGCCTGTGATAACATAAAAGTCCCCAACTTTGTGTCTCTCTCAATCCTCATCTCAAGAATCTGCTTTGCAATGCCCAGATCCTTCATAGCAAATTGCTTTGACAATTTTTGCTTCAAGTGTATAATCTCTTGCATGTTTGAGCCTGCAACGAGCATGTCATCAACATACAATAATAAAATAATGAAGCTATTGTCGAACCTCTTGATATAACAACAATGATCTGCTTGGCATTTGGTAAAATCACTACTACTCATGAAACTATCGAACTTCTTGTACCACTGTCTAGGAGCTTGTTTTAAACCATACAAGCTCTTCTTCAACCTGCATACCAGGTTTTTCTTGCCTGCCTCTATGAAGCCTTCTAGCTGCATCATATAGATTTCTTCCTCCAAATCACCATGAAGGAAAGCTGTCTTTACATCTAACTGCTCAAGATGTAAATTCTCTACAGCTATAATTTTCAACACTAGTATGATTGTGGACAGTTTTACGACTGGAGAAAAAAATTTCATTGTAGTCAATACCTTCTTTTTGCTGAAAGCCTTTGACAACCAATCTTGCTTTGTAGCGTTTGCTCCCATCGTGCTCTTCTTTGATCCTGTAAATTCACTTGTTATAGAGCCCTTTCTTGCCTGGTGGTAATTCAGCTAATTCCCACGTCTGATTTGACATAAGCGAGTCCATCTCATCTTTCATGGAAGACTCTCACTTGACTGAATCCTCCACCTGCATTGCTTCATCATAGCACTCTGGTTAACCATTTTCAGTCAGCAACAAATAGTGTAAAGAATGCGAATAACGTTGGGTTGGTTTAGGAATTCTGGAGAGCGTCTCAGTTATGGTGTGTGTGGTTCTTCTTGAACTGCTTCAGGATTGATCTGAACATCATTTCCAGAAATTTCCTCGAACTCAGCAAATTCTTTTGTTTCAGCTTCGGTATTAGAGATACTTGATTCTATGGTTAATCTGTCTTTGTACATCACATTCTCATTGAAAATGACGTCTCTGCTTATATATCTTTCGATTTTCATAGTCCCAAAATCGGTAACCGAACTCATCACCACCATAACCAACAAAGACGCATTTGTTGGACTTGGCATCAAGTTTACTTCTTTCAGCAGAGTTTATGTGTACATAAGAAATGCAACAAAACACTCTTAAGTGTGAAAAGTTTATTTCTTTCTTGCTCCAAGCTTCCTCTGGTATTCCACCATCCAATGGAACTGAGGGCCCATGGTTGATCAGGTAAGTTGCAGTGTTGATAGCTTCAGCCCATAGCAATTTGGGCAATCCGGCATGTATCCTCATGCTTCTGGCACGTTCATTCAGAGTTCTGTTCATGCGCTCCGCTACGCCATTCTGCTGTGGTGTCATGGGAACTGTTGTCTCCATCTTGATCCCATTGTTTGCGCAAAATTCTCTAAATCTGTTGTTTCTGTATTCTCCTCCATTGTCAGACCTCAACCGCTTGACTTTCAAATCAATCTCATTTTCACCATGACCTTTAATTTTCTGAAGGTATCAAAGACTTCTGATTTCTTCTTCAGAAAATAAACCCACACATTCCTCGTAGAATCATTGATGAATGTGACATAATATAATGAGCCTGCAAGAGATGGAACTGGAGATGGTCCCATACATCAATATGAACCAACTCTAACCTTTCTACCTTGGGTGTCTTGCCAATCTTTGCAAAGCTGACTTTCTTTTGTTTGCCAAAGATGTAATCATCGCATAGTCTGACATCTACATTCTTTAGATCTGGCAGCTTCCCTTTTGACAAAAGTTATTCATCCATTTCTCGCTCATATGGTCAAACCTTTGTGCCATAGGTTTGACGAAAAAGTGTTCCATTTTTATTATTTTTACTATTTTTATTTTTTAAAAGTAGCAATGACGAAAAAACGTGCTCCTTGAGTGAGAAACACACCCGCCATAACCATTTTTAACGGCGACTACTCTCCCTCGTTATTTCTTTGTAAGGAAATTAAATTCTTAAGCATAGATTCGTCGTATCTTTCGGGATTTTCATTTTCATGCTATTTTCTTTTTAATTTTGTTATCTAAAGGGTTGAACCCATAATTTTTTTACAATATATATATATATGTTAACCGAAAATTTTCAATCACTTATTCTAAATTTGTTGACCAAATATCACCTTTTAATTTTTTTTAAAAAAATTATCATCTATTTAAGACTAATTCTTAAGATAGTGGCTATTATATTGGAATAACAATTTTTTTAAACTAATGTGATTATAAAGTAATATTTATAATCTTTAAAAATAATAATAATTTATTAATTTGATTCGTTATAAAGTAACACATTTTTAATATCTTATTAATGAAATAATGTTTAAATAATATTATTTATTAAAATAATGTTCTTTTACTGTTTACATAAAACTGTAGTTCGAAAATATCTTTATTTACGTGGCAAGACATTCTGACAGTTTCTCCATTGTTAACGTTATCTATAACAAAAATGAAAGAAATGGTACTGTTAGACTAAAAATCATAGGAATTTTACTAAAAGAGAAACAACATGCAAAATACGTGTCGGAGACACGTAATTACACAAGTCGAACAATGACGAAGTCTCATTTCCAATTATTTAATGAAAGGTGATGTTTGTTTTGTAGAGGTAAAAGGTCCGCAGTCTGCGAACCACATCTATAGACATCTACAACAGAAATGTGGACCAAAAGTATACAAAAAAATACTTTTTTTTAACATCTGCAGACTGCTAAAATAAACTAATTTTCTAAACTATACTCAAATAACTATTTTTGTTATTAATTTTTAAAAAATTATAAAATGTCATTAAATTTAATGAGTTATTACAAAATAGTCACTATAATGTTTTAATAAATTATAAAAATTCGATAATATAATAATTATTTTATAGTATTTAGATAAATTTATTAATAATTTTATAATATTTTAATAAATTTAATAATTTTTTAAACTTTATTGACGAAAATGATCATTTGTATATAACTCAACGATATCTAATATACTTTATTTGAAAAAATATATTAAATAAATATTATACAATTTTATTATTATAAATTATTACATCTACGGACTATTAGATTTTGGTTTTAATATTATATATCATTTTAAAAATTATTATTAAATCAATTGATAATGAAATCAATTTGATTTTAATTCAATTTGTTTGTTTCGGTTTAAGTAATTATTAAAAAAAATTATATTTTAATTCTCAATTATTTTCAATTCACAAATATATCAATACTCGATTT